CTTTGACGGGAGTATGCTATTCAGGGGCATTTTTAATACTTCGTAGCCACTGCGATGTACCAGCAACGCGAGACACTTCCGACAGTTCCCGAACCAGAGCAGGTATTATTTGGAGGGAGGGCTGCGCCGTTTATTTAAGGCTTGCGATTGCATGTGTCCTCTTGCGTGCAAGTCCCACTGATGTGAATCGCATGCCCCTAATTAGCTTGCGATTGTCAACACCGACGTGGCAATGGATCACGAACCCCGCCCAATTTTGCATTCCATAAATATCTAAGGCTTCGTAACTTCAACTATGCGCATAGTACTTGTGAACTTTTTACATTTTAAAATGGTCACCTCATTTTCATTTACGTCCACACTTCCACCTAACTTTAAAAAGCGTTAATTAATTTGAAATGCAAGGCCGTGGAACATCGTATGAAGAGTGCTACAACGTGTTACATTGACAGATAACCTTGGTTTTGCCTCCTTTAATATGTAATGTGTGTCTCAAATGTGTTTTATTCACCTGTTAAAGGTGGCTAAAAACGAAAATTATCGATACCTTTACACAAAATATACTTTTATAATTTTCTTTTAATAAAATTAAAGTTATGCAACAACACAGTCGGAGTAGCATCAAGAAAAGTTCCGCTGACTGATGCACTTCTTCAGGAAGCCAAACAGCTAACTACAGTAAGGTGATTGGAAACTTGAAGAGAACATAATGCCCTTTTGTGGTGCTACATGAGTTCGAAATAGGCAGCATTTCTTTCCATTCAAGACTACTCGCTTGCCAATCAAAAGTGCGCACATTTCAGTTAGATCGTCTGGCACATCTGCCTCATACTTTCATTTCCGATTGGAAAATTTTCATTGTTTCTTTGTTATTTGAGATGCTTAAGCTTTCTTTAAAGGTGAGTGAGCAGGCACATTGCACAAATAGGTGGTGCGAAAATTTCGGGCTAAATCTGACAGCAGCTACCAATTTGACTCAAGTGTCAAAAGGACGTTGCCTTGAAAACACTTTTAACAAAATTTTCTGGAGAAAGGTATTTGTTAGCAAAAATGCAAGTTCTGGGCGCAACACTTAACATTAATAGAATTTGACGTGTCTCGGACAATAAACTAACGAAAATGAATCATTTCACTTCGCTTTAGGAGAAGAAAAGGCATGCAAGTGAACGTAGTGTACGTAAAGAGACTTACGCCTTGCTGCATCGTGTTTCAAACACGGGAAGGGAGAGCGACTTGTTGACTATCCTCGTCTTTATAATACGCCAGAAATAATGGCAAAGTCATTGAACATAGGCTGAGTCACCGACCTCGCCTAACCCACCCATCAGCTAGTCAAATTTCTTAATGGTTGAGAAATTGGTTACCAGGGCAGCAGTATCCTAGCAACCAGTTTACTTGTTTACTGTACTCATATGATCTCGCCAACATTTTCGCTTCCTGTCCGGCCATGCCGAAACAACTGAACTTCAAAATTAATACACACCCCAAAGTTTAATTCATGGAAGCCAAAAAATAATATTTTTACCAACGTCATCCATGTCAAAGTTACAATAGGTTTTTAAATGGACTTATTTACACAGGTACACCAGGAGAATCGCCTCCAGTAGTCTAGTAAAATGACTTCAGGCGGACGCACAGCGCTGTGTGAATGTACGTCAGTTTAAATGTGGCTTCAGTGGTCAAAGACTTGCTGACAGGATTACATTAAGTACACAGCAAATGAACAATTAATGACACGCCTGTCTATAACGACAGTCAGAAGTGATTATGTTGTGAATATTAGCTTGAGATCTCTGCTGTTTAACTCACTTCCCAATGCAGCAAAACATGCACGTTAAATCAATCTCAATATCGTTTGAACAGGTATGCAGTTCTGCCTGGGTGTTCGATGAAAGGTTATTACTCTATACAAAACTTTTTTTACGTCTTAGCGTGGAACACACAATTTCCCACGCACTTTGTGAGTGCATCCATTCGTTAAAAAGCCGCAGTTTTATAAATATGTTCGGATATAAACATCGTGAACCAGACTGGTTTTGCGAGGATTTCTTCCAAGTCAGGCTCTCTTTAGTCAGTCTTGTGGGCAGACTCGCTGTCAAACACTTGGCCGACGGTTTGGACCGAATTCCCCAAAATAAAACGATTTGGTGTTTGGATGGCACACTCTGGCACACACGAGAGATCCGAACCTCCAGCTGTGTGCACTCCCTTCTGTCGTTGCCTACGTCATCGAGACACGACTCACCCCACATATTTTATCATGTAACCCCCCGTCTGTTATCTAGTTCACCCGATTCCCATCGATTTCAAACCCCTGCACACGTTTGCTACTTGCAGGCATGTACACGAACGCACACACCGGCACGGCGTGGGGCCCAGATTGATTGAGCAGTCCAATGAGTAGCCGTCTCTCGCGCCCTCGGTCCCAATCTTGCCGCGTCGACATGGTGGTGGCCTCGATGTGGCTCCGGGTCCCACATCTTGGCCTCTTTACGGCCCCCACAACTTCGGCACAGTCGCGCAAGCGCTCAAACCTCCTTCGGGCTACAACTAACAAAACTATTCCTAGGTAGACTGTGATAAAACAAGTACTAAAAATTGGTTTCTGACAGGATATCGAAATAATTTAACTGGGTCAAGGTAAAGCATGGAGTAAACGAGCGGATTTTAAGGACTTCAAATGAAAATTCCCAGTTACTTTAGACCTGTCTCTTGTGAAAGTCTGCAATAACTTGCCGATTTATCTGAAAACTGCAACTTTTGCTTGGTAGTGCGTTTAGGGGGTTGTGGTTCATTTGTGGACCTGTGTTGATTATTGAGTTTGTTGAGGGCATCGACATGCGTTCCTAGTCGCAGTCACCAATTGCTAAAGCCCCTAGCATGCGGTCTTCAACCACGTCAAGGCTGCTGTTTAGAATTTGGTCTGATAACCCTACACAGCTACTCGAAAGACATGTAGAAGACCAGAGATGGCAGAAAAAACCGTTTACTAGGCAGTCACAACAAGTTGCATGTATCGAGTCACTGGGCATAAAAGTTGAGTCTGAATAGTAGAGATTGCTGACAAAAAGGGTCTACGCGAACCTGTGAAAGTACAAATGCCTAAATGGCCAGACGAATGAGACGGATGGAATTAGGAAGGTACAGTCACAAGGGTGTATAAGCAAACGAGTTCGCATGATAGATAGAGACGTCGTGAAGGGAAGGCCAGTGTGGTGGAGAATGCGACGACCGGGTTAACGTACTTGAATCAGCACGGTTCACTATAAGTTCAGAAGTAATGCACAGAAGAAAACTTGATGATGCACCTGTCACCTTTGGACACCATGTTCAATTCCCGTCGAGCTCCAGGAAATGGAGTAAAGGCCACCACAGGATTTGAGTTCGGCTCAACCTTTAAGGTCGGTCGCATGACACGCACAAGCTGAATCGAGTAAATTAAATAGCAGCATGTGAATTGAAGACGGTAGATACTACTAAGTTTGTTGTCAGTAGAGGGAACATTTAAGAGGAATAGCATTCGCCCTGCATGTGGGTTTGGTTTGGCAATAATTAACCCTAACAAAAATTACTTATCACAGGTTTACTGAACTTTCTAGTAATTGGAGTTGGTTGAAGAAAGCTGGCAATTAAACTACGATTAATGTGTTTATGGGTTAATGCTAGATGTATTGGACAGTCAAATTATTCACAGTTGTGGCAATACAGGGTGCTTTATCGGTTTTTAAACATACCCCCTTCTAAAATTAGGACATTTCCCATTAAATAGCAAAATCAGTGCTCAAGGTAAGTTTTACTCGTGAAACAGCATTGCTTTCTGCTAGTAATATGCATCCTCAAAATTGCTTAAGAATGTTACAACATTTCTCAGAAAAAGACATAACTGGACATTGAAATGTGCCTCAGTTTCGGGAAACTGACACAAACAGCTCCGCGTAACACAACAAAAGCCAAGCTGAGTCTCAGGCATTTCGGTTAACGCCCGCAACCACAGGAAAAGAGGTACACAGAAAAGGCCTCAAGAGGGAACTCAGACTATTGCTGTTACTTTGCTTTACTTTACCACAACTCTATCCTCCACCCACACGAGCCACTCGAAAATACCCAATGTTCAGGCAAATATTTGTTTCCAGATCAACAAGTGCAGGCGAAAAGGAAACATTGAAACGAAGAGAATGATCAGCTTATCGGAAAATCATCCCATTCGAATGCTGACCTCCTCTGACTGGTTCCCTTAAATTTCGTTCTATTTCCCATTGGCCGGGGAGTGTAGCATCTACCACGTTAGTCTTTATTTATCCGTTGTTTTAACTTAAAAGAGAAGAATAATTTTGCTAACGTAATAAGGAGTGCGGAGAAGGTGCTAAGATGCTAGCTGGCAGGTAGTATCACTCACAACTGCAGTGATTTGCTGATCAAAAGCAAGGAGAGGCAACGCCCTTCCGACGCGTCTTGACTGCAAGGCAAATCTGTACCATGCGCTCTGCTGAGGTGTCAGAGGTGGCTGCTTCGTCGGCCTAGCGCTTTTTGAGTTTTTTTATTTGATAACTGTCGCTCCCAGCCTTCCAGCAACCTCAAACCCCCCTACAAATGCCCTCAATGGACTGAGTTGATTCACGTCCATTAATCCTGTCGTCACAGCGTCTGCTCAAACACCCCTGAACGTGCACGACCCCCGAAACCCACTCCATTCATCTATCCATTCAGCCACTTGCTCATCCAGGCTGTGCAGTTCACAGACCTCAATGCGAGACAGTCACAAATAGGTTGAGCCATCTACTAAACGCTTGTGTCGCTGCTATCTCCAGCCCTCTTGATCTTCTCGGGTGTTAACGTACCGTAACCGGAAAAGTAAAATGCGGCGGCCCCGGTGTGGTCTAGGACCACACGCAGGGGTCTTCAACCAATGCATACCTTATTTGGCTAGGAAACTGTGTAGTGTGTGGAGGGTTCACCGCGTGACGGTTCGTGAGGTGATAAAGACAGTGCGGCCGTTCGTAATGATTCGGCCAGATTTAGTTCGCATTTCCTCATCCCCTCCTTCTCCCTCACCGTCATCGCATGAATCCGTGGTGGCAGTTGAGATGCAAATCTCAACTCTTTTGCTCTATTCACAGCAGTTGCTTGAAGAAGAACCTGGGGTGAGACATGATGAGTACTTTATCACTGTGTTGCTCAAATGAGATGAATGAGTGCGGGATTAATGTGTTGCATGAATCTAGCGATCTGATGGTGGATAATCGCTCGACTTGCAGTGGTGAGCACCGACCAACTTGTTGTGACATTCAGCTCCGCCTCCAACGAGTTTCCTGCATAGGAACTGATTTTGGTGTCGCTGAATAGATTTGTTGCCAAAGTAGAAATGAATGCCAAAGGCGCGAGGTCTGTAAGTAGTGCTTATAGAGAGCAGCGAGCAGGTACAGTTAGCAAGCGCGAGCGCACACAATTCAATCATTTGCGTGAATGCGCTTCGTGCAGCTATGTTAGTTCAGAGAACGATGTTTGGCGATGCTGTACAAACTGACGTCTCACAACCTTGTAAAAACCACTCTACTACAGCTTCAAGTTACCTCTCGAACTGCGCTTTATCAGCGTTTTCACTTTCATGTCTCATTTCCACGCCGGACCACTGAACTAACTCTGGCCGTCATGTCGGAGGATGGAGCGAACGGAGTGTGAATAAACACGAATCACAACACTTAGTGTGTTTTTTTCGCATTTTATCTGGTAACGTCACTTTAGGTTTCACCTCTCACTTCAACGTAGAAAAAACGCAAATGTTCGCTCGTGTCATTTTGGGACTAAAAACACTGAACCATCAGTTAGATGTTGATATAAAATAAGGCCTTTCACCGTATTTACCTCTATAACTTTATTTAAATTTGTTTTTGCCGTCTTCTATCACTGCCCCAGAAGTCTGAGGTATATTCCCCGATCGTGGGTTCAGTAGTAAGCAGTTACTACTAATCAAAATCAAGTAGCGGTCTTGTAACAATTAACAAATTATTTACTGAGCTGTCATTCAAGGCACTTCACATAAATACAAAAGCCGCAGGGCAAAGTGCTGAATGGAGCATGAGTTGAAGTTAGATAATCGGCTATCAGGGCTGTTCTCCATCGCCTGAGTAGTACCTTCTCGAAACTTTCTGCTAACAACTCGGATGCGGCAATGGGTGCGCAATTAATGATTATCCCCTGGCAGTCAATTATGTGCCTTGATAGCCAAAATGGTGTAATTTATTAGTTTACTAATAAGTGGAAAATGCAACACAGCATTATGGTTCCCGGCTAATTGAAATGAAAGGACCGAGTTTGGTCTTAGCTCAGGCGAAGGGGCTGTGCTGCAGTTGTAAGAACCGCCTGTCGGGACTCCAAGTATGCGAACAAGTGGGCAACCGGACAGGTTGATTATAGTCGACTATTGACAGATGCACAAAATGCTGGAAAAAGATTGGTCGATCCCACGACAGCAAATGATGGCTTGCTTGGATTGCCCTTATTTCCACTTAAATGGCGTTATCAACTTTAAACCAGTTTTAACAAGTACTTTAACACCTTGACTCGAGAACATGGGGCATAGGGACCAGTCAGACATGCAGTGGTCTAGTATGTCAGTGTGTCTTGCACATCCACGATACGATAAACGCATTGGTTGTGTACCACTTACTCGAGGTTATCTGCGAATCCTGTTCAGTGATTGCACACCTTGGTGTAACTCACCCGGTTGCAGCATGCGGCATCTTGTGCCGTGGCTGTGAACATTTAAACAGTTTAGTTACACATTGCCCGTTTCTAAAGACCACTAGCTGACGTCTTTAAGAACAATGCGTTTACATAACTCATGTTTAAGAGACGTACCAACTTTAAATACGATTCCTTTCCTAACTTTAAGCATACTCCTTCGTTTTATAAAAACAGGCTTTTTGTGTCGAACATGTATGAACAAATTTTCACGGAACTTTGTCTGATTGAGTGGGACATGGGAGTTTTGCCAACAACCATGCAAAAAAGCAGAAATGTAGTGCCTTCTTGTGGGTCTTTTATATTCGCACAATTGACCAACAAACGACGTGCGCCAACGAACACTTGAAGTGTGAGTTTCGTGACCCTGAATCATGAAGGAAGATTCATAAATAACGCTCGTGGAACTGTCTCTGAGAGCCACCATAACCACTAAGACACCATTCAAAGTCTCGCTCTTTGTATTTACCTCGTTCAGTTCACAAGGCGTCTAATCGAACAGAATGAAGAAGCAATTACTAGTCTTTGAAGGATAAACATTCAAGGAGTGCTCTAGCCTAATTGCTCTTGAATTGTCCTTTTCAACTGAGTAATAACCACTCCTACCATAATCAAATTGATCCACCTGATGTGAGTGAGCTACACACCTCGTACCGTCTTGAAATGATTTACCTTAAGAAGACTGTTAGCCCTGCGTTAGAAATGGGTTCTTTTTAATATGGACTATTTCCACGAGTAGTATTTCGCTTCAAGACAGTTCAGGCATTTATTTACATTTATACCACTCACGTTAACAACACCACGTTAAGTTCATGCTTCAAAGTGTTTCACACAATTCTCAAATACTGCGCAAAACGTTTCGAAATGTAGAAACGTTTTTCATCTAGTCGAAATTCGTAGTAAAGTGATGTCCCAGAAAACAATGAATCATAAGCGATTGCATTGTTTACTTTGAGCAAACAAGTAAGATGTTACTTTTTTTGAATCAGTGCCAAATGCACAGTCAATGTAATCTCAGGTAGTCCTACTTGTAGGATGAAGCATAAGTGATGAATGCGAGTTGAAAAAGGAATCATAAGTGCGCTTATAGCACCAATAAAGTTGACTACTTAGTATTGTTAGGATCTAATTCATGTGAACAGTGGAGATACTTTATATTTTTTGTGTAAATGGTATGCTAGTGATTTTTCTGGATGCGCTTAATTTTTAACTTCCTAATGAAATAACGGCCTAACTTACTGCCTTTAAAGATGATCGAGAATTAATGCCTTGGGAACTCCCACATTTGTTCACTGAGTACTTGTTCAGGTCAACGTTTTGTTTCTATAGTGATTTCCAAGAAGAGTCATGCAAAGTTTCTTAAGATCTGCCGCCTAATTAACTGCGTCGATTACTCGTCAATCGATTGTCCACTGCATTCGAGCGATCGATAATGATTCTACCTCATTCGCTATTTGGTAGCTGGTTCAAAGACCATTTTCGTACACACAAACCATCTTAGGTGCATTCCGATTTACACAGCAGAATTTCAAGTCGAAGCAAGTACTGTAGTTTGTTAAAATTTTCGGCCTTCGCACTTCAAGTACAGCAAATTTTTTTCGTTGGTCAAAAGAAAAGAAGCCATAAGAAAGAAAATGTTGCACAAATAACATTATTCCATAAAGAGAAAAGGATGTCTTCGTGGACTTGCGGTATAATTTTAAAGATCGAACAATGGTCACACACTAAGCAATAAAGATTCAATGTAATGCTGAGTCCTCCAATCATTGAAGGCAGCTGCCTTGAAAAAAAGGTTGGTTTGACAAAGAAATTCGACTGTAATACTGTCATTACAACTCCACCGACGAAAAATACCAAATATTAGCTTAAGTTCCCCTGACAGCACCCAAACTACTTCAATTTGCCGCCATCGTTCCTGTGGAAATTAAAAACGATTCATTACCACAACACCTCTACACACGCAATCAACGTTGAAATTCGTTACACCTCTCTCTACCACCCAGTCCTTTCGAACTTCACGTAATTCCGGGTTGATTTGCGAATGTAATCGTCAGTTCACCTTCGTAGAACTAACTACTTCTTGAAGGACTTCTACTACCTTTGGAGGTGCACGTGGGTGCTGTGATAATTACGTGAGCTCTAGTTTGTTCATTTCTTTCTACTAAAAGGAATGAACTAGTTTGAGTTTTAGTTTAAACCGAAATCCCCTTCAGACTAGATAGTGGTATGTTCTACTTGAGGCAGTCAAAGGTAAAACGGTTCTGGCATTAATATCCTAGGGTTAGAATACATTGAACTGAAGGGAGCAATGGCAACAGCAGACATCCTGGGAACAACCTAACAACGCCGTGCATACGCACGCGTGCGACGCTTTTTGTGAAAATGTTCTATTCACTGATGATTGGTCAAGATTTGCATCAAGTCAACAGCATACTTTGATGTGATAGGTAGAAACTTGGTCAAGCTATTGGTTCATGCATACTTATAAAGCAAAAGCATCCAATAGCCGGTTTAGTACAGATTGCCTTGGTTTTGCTGCCGTAAGTTTCCTTAGCGCTTTGTTCGCGCTTCGTGCTTTTCGTTTTCGTGTATTTAATGGACGAAAGACTTAGGGGCATTATTAATCGTGCTCTGCTTGTGCTATTTAGATTAATTTGCAGTGTGAAATACATCAGAACTTATAGCATGAGTACCTTGATTGTGTTTTTAACTTAGACTAAAATTAAAAGGCGAAAGCGAGCATTGTCAAGGAAACTAGATATCGGACAGATTTTCAAGCAGGTTTGGTTTTTGACCGAGCTCGCTTTGTGCAATATAATACTTTGGCCATTCAGGGCCATTAGGCGTTCTCAGGATCAACGATGATTCTAATGTTTTTGAGCCATCTATGCAATAAATTGAATTTAACTGACTCAAGTGGAGAGAAGGAGACATTGAAATTTACTACCAATTATAAAAAAATCTTCATTTTTTAAATTCAGACCACTACCACAATGCAACTCCCGGGATGGTTGAAATGGATAATAAAATACAAAAGCCTCGTCTTTTTGGTCTTGTATCCCATCATACTATGTCCCATCCTCATTGCCTATCCTCAGCAGGTGAGTTTTTAGAACTTAATTTTTTATTGTCAGTTCCCTTTGTACTGGGGTTGCTTATGAAATTGTTTTTACCATTGAAGATAGTTGTTCCGAACTTCATAAAGTTAAGAGGTCTGACTAAAGCGGTGTTGTATGCAAGCTTTAAGCTAATCATTAAACTCGGCATTTATTAGTTATTTTACGATATTATCGGGTGCGCGGAATGAGCAAACTTTTCTCTCATTAGTGAAATTCCCTATGCGGGGCTCATGGAGTAGCAGGGAAGCCAAAAGGACCATTATACGACAAACAAGTTACAGATTTGCTGATAGACTTTCAGGCGCTTGAGCTAATACACTTCCAGATATGCAACATTTTCAAAAATGATATAGGCATGACCATGTAAATATCTGCTGCAGGAGTCGAAGGGGGCCTACACCCTGCTGCTGATGGCCGGATACTGGATAACTGAAGTTATTCCCATCTACGTGACTGGTATGCTGCCGCTCGTAATGGGTCCACTGATGGGTTTGATGTCCTCCGGTGAGGCTTGCCACGAATACATGCGCGTAAGTTACTGTTAACATTATATTAAAGACGTCGCTGCCGGTGGAAATAGGCACTAATAGAATCGTAGCCTAGTGTGAAGGATCGACAGTTCATTCAAGTGTGCGGTGAATCGATTTTGTCTAATGGGGTAGAGGACGAGGGATCAGATTAGGGGCTCCCAATACAGTCTAGCAATGTCACGGAAACAGGAAATAATGCTGCTTAGTTCGTGTCCATGTGAATGACCAACCCAGACAACATCATTGTGATGCGCACAATGAACGTCATGAAAGATGTAAAAAAAGTTTGGTTGATTTTAAGACAAAGAAGAAGACGACGACGACGACGAAGGAGAAGAAGAAGAAGAAGGGAATTGTGTGTGTGTGTGTGTGTGGTGTTGACCGTGTTGTAGATATGGAAAGTCGGTTGCATGCATAGGTCGAAATGTGGCAGAATTTTTGTTTCTTGTAGGATTCCATCATGCTCTTCATTCACGGTGCATTTTTGGCCGTAGCCACGGAACACCGTAATTTGCATCGTCGCATTGGTGTCGCAGTGATGAAGGTCATGGGTGGTGACCCCCGACTGTAAGCTCTCCTCCTTTATATGTCAAAGGCTTTCGTCACAATACAGGCTTGCTTGAGTAGTGGTGGTAGGTGTGTGGGTGCAGAGGGCTGTTTAGGATGCAGGAATGAGTGGCGAATTGGCGTGGTTTCATTGGTCTCTGTCAAGGCTAGGCAGTAGTCAGAGGCGCGATGGCATGCGAGAGGACGCGAGGATGAGTGTGCCGTGAATGCGGTAGGAGGCAGGCTGGTTCAGTGTGATTGGATTTGGCGGGCAAGGCAAAATGACTGCAGTGCAGCGGCGAGTTGTGCTGCCAGTTGGGTGTTCGCTCGAGTCCTCAGACAGAGAGCCACATATGGACCCAAGTTGTCATTGCGTAAGCCATTTCGCACCATGTTGGTAAGATGTTGAGTGCCTTTCCATTATAGCTTGATGCTGGGCCTAATGTTGCCAACTTGGTTCTTGTCCATGTGGATGAGCAACGCTGCCGCAACCATTATGATGCTGACCATCGTTGAGGCCCTGATGTCGCGCTTGGAGGCCATCAAACCAGGTAAATATCTACCATTATCTACTTTGCCAGTACGCTCATTATTACTATATTGCGCTGGTTGGCTAGACAGGCTTTGGGGTGTCATGTGTACTTAGGTTCACATTGCTGGTTGGCCGGTCGTACACTAGGCACTTTTGGCAAAAAGACACGTCCCCTTGTGCGCCTGTTCCCATATACTATTGTTTTTTGTCCAAATTAGAATGGTAGTACCGATGTAAGTTGAAAATGTTTGTGGTGTGGATGGTTATGGGGATTCCAACTTCGGGCTTTCTGGTAATCTATTGCGTGATGTTGATGACTTCGATTAGTCGATGCATTCTGTTTTGTTGACATGGCATGTTCTGCTCTCCGACCCTCTGCTAGTGCAGCTACGTCCCGTAGTATTAGGTGATTTCCTAGGCGATTTTCACGTGCGAATAAGCAACTTTGTTCTCGTACTGAACCTTGATAGAACTCTAGTTTGATTTCCGATAAGCACTATGGTTTAATTTTCTTTTCAGATAAAGCGGGTGGGCATTCAATGTTGAATTAATATCTAGTCAACTTCTGTTTCACTTTCGGAGACACAATTCTACTTCAAAACACTCATTTGCACTGCAGATTTCCTTTAGTGCTAGCAGCTTTTGTTGCACATTGCGATACACCCAGCAATTTTTATTTACTCACCTGCTTGTTGCAAATTTCGATGCTTTACAGGCTAATTCAAGCAGTATTAATTCATTCTTAACCTTTAGGGCCCTCTTGTCAGTGCCACAGAGCTATGCCTTCGTTGAGACATCTTTCCAGTGATGCCATTGGCTGTCAATTCGAGTGCTAATTGGATTAAACATCTGTGCAAATTATGCCACTCAACTGTCTTCGATTTCAGGCGTCCACGAACAGCATGTGTTAGCTCCACATTGTGATTTTAGCCTGCACAGTTATAATGGCAAAAACATGCCGGTTTTAATTACTGCGTATTTGGCAGCCCAACATCGTTGTTTTGAATTTGACTTATTGGGTCACCACTTTTATTATAAAAAAATCCTAGGTCCAACTAGTGACACGATGAATTTACTTTATTGCGGGTGCGTGAGTTTGTGTGCATTAAGCGGCCAATGCTTTGCTGTATATGTATGATAAGTTTTTTTGTGCTCATTTAACCATAGTCTTTGTTTTTCGAATGTTTAGCCGTGGAAGAAGGAATCGCTTTACGAACTGAGTAAGCCTTTTTATTAAATTGCTGTAGAAGCGTGTTATAGCCTTAATAAATGACTTTTTTGGCTAGCTGCTATTTTAAATGTTACCCCCGCACCTCCCTGCCACAGAACTTGGTGCACAATGGAGGGCAGGGGTTTTTTGATTGCTCGACTCAGTTGCACTATGTGGTTCGGGGGTTACTTTTACCAGATATTTGTGATGAGAGCGTTACCGGAGTCCAGTGGACGAATCATGCGTCATGTGTACTTTTGTCTGAATGCACTGCGGAATTTAAGTGCGTTTTAGACTAGGGGCTAAAATAAACCAGCAGCATATAATTTACGTTGAGTGCAACGTCATTATGCTGCGTTTCAGAAGCGAACCCAACTGCACCCAAGCGAGGTCCATGTGCCTCGTTTCCCTGCTACAGTCATTAGTCGAAGGGAGGCTTTAATTTAATTACCTTTGGGTTTCCTAACAGCGAGGAGAATGGCACCCACGATGCTCAGGCCTGGAATACCGGAGACAGCAACGAGAGCGTCACCGTTGTCGCTGCAAAAGATCACAAGGGGAGTGGGTCGGAAGATCTGCAGAAGTTGGGATGCGGTCTGAGTTTGGGCATTGCTTTTGCGTCTAGCTGTGGTGGAATGGGCACCGTTATTGGCACTCCGACCAACGTTGTGCTCTTTGGCCTGGTTACTGAGTGAGTGTTTCTTATTGTGCTTTTTCACTCCTCCATCTCACATTCTGTGTTCGTGGCTTACTGAGATATGACAACTCAGTTGACTATGCCACTTTTTACACCCATTGGCTTGATTGACGGTGCTACTTACCTTGACAACAACCTGTGGGTCCATCCTACTCAACTTCTGAGACACTAGGGCTGCATCTCATTTGTGGAATATTTCTCTAAAATTTACAATGGAGAAGTGCAATTCCAGAGGTAAAAGTAGGAGGTTCAAGAGTTATTACAAGAAACTACGGCATTTAAACATTAATTAAAGGCCCTACCGTGTTTTAATTTTAGCACATACGGACCTGAAACGACACTGAGCTTCGGTACATGGGCCGCATATGGTATTCCGCTCTCTCTAATCCTCCTTTTATTCGTCTGGGCAATCCTCGGCATGATTTTTATCGGACCAAAGTAAGTGGTGCAGCACCAAGGAGGCGTGTTGCATGCGTTGACACATAGCACCGGGTCGTCACATGAATTCTTCTTCAGAATTGACTCCTTAGTGTTCTTTCGATACAAAGGAATACCAAAGTTGAGGCTAGAATTTAAAGTGTCATTAAAAAAATATTATTTAAACAAAATAGGTAAAAATGAAAAATCGGATAGGTTAATGTGCAGTGGATTTACGCAATTCTGCACAACACATGGCTGATACTCTTATTGGTGCTTTCAGGAAGTTCTTCGCCTGCAAAAACCCGGACAAATCTCGAGAGGCGGCAATTCGCCAAATTCTGGACGAGGAAAAGAGGTCATTGGGTCCCATTGAGTAAGTTGCTCCAACGGTGTAGTTTCCGTTTTGAGCACTCAAGTTGAAAACATGACATCCCAGTTACATTCATGGTAAGTGGAACGCTAGGCCTCGCCTTTCAATCCGTTGTCCCACATGTGGGCAAATATGACTAATGCTCTTTCACATGTGACTCATAGCATAATGACGACGACGCGTTTCCATGCCACGGCACAATTCCACCCGATTCGCACAATTTCGCTTCAACCGTTTTTCCTTCATGTTCTTCATGCGAAATGACAAATGATTCCAACAAACTACTTTTGGGCGGTGCTGAAACGTGATCGGAAGTTGTCCTAAGAATTCACTAACAACTTTGTCATCTGTCAAAGACTTCTGCCAAAGGAACGGTGTTAGGTGTGTTGCAATTGTAGCCATGACTACGTCTATCTAAGTTGGCGAAAATTGCGACGCATGCATGAAAATACCATAAACACAGAGAGGCCTTCAGTCTCCCTGGTGAATGTTGAAAATTGCACCACCAACACAGGGAGGGGAGGAGAGAATGAACCAAGCTAGTAATAATTCACATGCAATTGTAGATGGGCTGAAGGCTCGGCAATTGGCATCCTCGCAGTCATCGTGGTCCTTTGGGTCACGAGAAAGCCTGGTGTCGACGGCTGGGCCGCTCTGGTTCCATCTGGTTTCAACAAAGACGGCAAGTCTATTCCGTGAGTCACCTGCTATTTGATGTTTTACCTATATTGATCATGGTGTGGAGAGCAAGCTTTAGACTTGACAACCATAAATTTGGCCTGTGTTCAAGTAGTGTGTTTAATCCTTATTAGGCAGGATGAATTTACAGGAGTGCAGTGCAGTGAATGTTCTTGACAGAACTTAGTTATTAAACAATTAAGCGGCTTCCCTGATGCTAGTTATTTGCTTCACATAGGCTCACAACGGACACCCAAGCCGCTGTATTGGGAACTATTCTGGTCTGCGCATGGCCTGCCAACAATCCCTTCCGAAGAAGGCAACCTACTGGTGAGTGCAAATTGCTGACCCGTGTGCAAGCAGGAGCGCAGGTGGCGAGTTGCTGGGTGAGGGCGAGTTTGTGTGTGTGTGTGGGTGGATGTGAGCGTGTGATTGACGCATACACAAGGCAGTTGTTACCAGGACGCTGCAAAGTTCTTGGTGGTAATGCTATGCAATCTCCTTACAGAACAAGACATCGATCCCTTGGAACCAGTTTTGCCCTGGAAGGTGGCCCAGTCGCGTTGTCCCTGGCAGGTGCTCTTCCTCATCGGTGGTGGCTTCTGTCTATCGAGAATGTGCACTGTGAGTCAAGTGGTTTGTTCTCTCTCTCTCGCGGTTGTCCACGAGGCAGTGTATGGGGGAATGAGCGTGTGTGCAATACAAACCAGGGAAGTTGGCTCGTCAACGTCCGTGGCATTGTCACGTGACAAAGTGGCGCAATCACACCGACGGGTCTGTGTGACTGCATCCGCAGACCACGACAGGCACGGCATGGCACGGCACGGCAGAGCATAGCATGAGTGGAGGGAGGGGAGAGTGGGGCTGGTCAATGCAACGAGGACAGTGTGGGCTGTGTGCGAGCGTATTTGTCAACAACCCGACGTTGATGCCATATCACGTTAGGCTGCAGCAGAGGCCACACGAAATGGGATGTGCGCAGATTGCGGCGAACGGGAGTCGTCCCTGTTGGAGTTGGTTGTGTTGGCAGCATCGGCCGTGAAGCGTCCGATTGGAAAGGCACATTGACAGGAATGTGGAGGCAATAAGCAATTGGAATTAGCAAGCACGTTAGAGTGATGGCGGTGGTGGTGGTGGTGGTTGTTGTTGTAAATCGTCTTGTGAGTGTGGCGAAAATAATCCCAATGCCTGTGTTAGTGTTTGTTTGTTTGTTCAATTTAGGTCTCGGGACTGTCCGATCTAGTTGGTGAATACCTGATTGGCCTAAAATCCCTGCCACTGCCAATACTTATCTATGTGTTTACCGTCGTGTCCTCGGTGATTACGACGTTTGTGGCGAACGCGGCTACAGCCACCGTGCTGTTGCCAATCATGTTCCAACTGGTAAGTCGAGCGATAATTAATGATGACCACTTAAGTCCACCCAAATCC